TTAGCAGCAAATAGGTAATTTTCACAGCAGATAGGTAGTTTAGCAAGGGAATGTGTGAGGGAGATCTTGGAAAAAGTCAAATGTTAGAAATTAGATTTAAAAAAACCTACCTCTCCAAACAGCAACAACAAAAACACAAAGCCTTTTGAGGTTGACAGTTGCCATATCTTGAGGATGGTTCATATACTTGGCTATATCTGAGAGAGGAGTGATGTCATTTTTTTCACCTCTTTCTGTAAATAGAATTTATCTAGCACATTGTAGGCTTCCTCAAGAGAAATGTAAAATCCCAAATTGATGTTTTCTATTCTGTGGGTTGTCTTTTCACTTTTTTGAGGGTATCATTTGAAGTTTTTTACTTTTAATTTTGATGAAGTTCATATTATCTGTTGGTGTCGTATCTAAGACGACTTTGCCTAACCAGCGGTCTTGGGAGAAGTAGAGATGGGACATGTTGGGGTTGAAATAGGGACCCTATGGTGAAATGGAGACGAGAGAAATGGGTAGAACGGGATTAGGTTTTGAGTAAGAGATTTTTGTGCGTACTAAGGATTCTGGGCCTCTGACTATCAGTTTTATGTGTCTTTGTATGTTTAAATTGAATAAGGATGCATACTTGAACACACTGCTCTTCCTTTGCTTTTTCCCCATAACGTGTCTTTGAGATCCTCCTATATTAGCACAGATAGGTCTACTTCATATAGTATTCAAGTGTACTGTTTCACCTTAAATTACTTATCAGTCCCCTATGATATTTTATAATAGCACCAAAAAAACGGTAGGAACCCCACTAAGTGAACATTCTCATCTTGGTATGTATGTATGTTTGGCCCTCTTTGTGTGCATAATTAAGTTCCTAGCAGTGGAATTGATGAGTTAAAGAATCCATTCATTTTGGATTTTGGTAGATATTGCTAGATACTTCCTGAAAGATTCCCATGATACACTCTCCCATGAAATGTATGAGAGTGCCTACTGGCCCCCTTGCCTAGCAGCTGTTACTATCATCGGTATTTGAATTTTTGCAAATATCATGGGTTAAAAATGGTATCCTGTTTATTAATTGTATATGAATTGAAAGTGAGCATATTTTTCAAATATGTTTTGGCCATTTAAAAAATTGTTTGCTGGTATACCCTTTATCATATAGAGTTTATTAATTTTAGTTCAGTGGAAGGCACCAGGGACAGTATTATTTTACATGGGAAATGGGGAGGACAATTTATGGTCTAGTTGCTCACCCTCTCTAACTTGTAAAGTCCTTAAGTCATGAAATTCTCTCTGTGTGTTCTCTTTAATTCTGATTGCATGAGTTTTTGTTTGTAAAATGCTCAGTCACCATGCCTACACAGTAGTCAGTGCTCAACTTCCTCCCTTTTCTTCCTTCACATTGTTTTTTCAGTTTATACCAGGTTTTGTGAGAGGCAACTTATTGTGTGGTGATGATGACTCCAGTGTTTCCTGCACATCTGGTGTGTGAACCTGCCCAACAGGGCTTCACAATGCCTGACCTCTGAATGGGGCCAGCCCAAGGCCAAGATCACTGGGCAGGCTAGCAGTTTGGTTCCCCTTTCAAATCAATGTTCTTGAAATACCCAGTAGTTACTAGAGGAGAAGATCTTCATGTAGAGAGTAGAGAACAGTCTGCAGATTTAGGCCACATTTTGGCTATCTCCTGACCTTCTGACTTCACTCTGCACAACAAATCTGAACCACCCTCCAGAGAAGGAAGTTATTTCTAAAGTTTATTTCTGGGGATTTGAGTCTCTTACCAGGGTAGTCTGCCCTTCTTACCACACCCAGTGTGCTGACAAGACCATATCCCCCTCCAACTTTCACTTTATGTTTAGTGTCCCTTTAGTCCACCCTTCAGTCTAGTCTTAAAGTCAACATGTATGAAGTGACTGAATTTTGTTTAAACAAACCTATTTGACTTTGTGTTTTAGTGAGCTTTCCCTCTCAAGAATTTAGTCCACACTTAAAGTTCCTTAAAACAGCACTTGCAATACATTCCTTTTGAATGTTCTCAGAGATGGCAAATTTTATTCTTTGATGTTGATATTCTTTCCCCCCAGTAACTTAAGAGTTTTTAAACCCCAGTGTAGTGATTGGGGGTGGGGACTGAAGTTATAACTGTACAGTAATGAGAGGGGCCCTTTTGAGGACCCTAAACACAGTCTTCTTGGAGCAGTGGCTCCTAAATGGTAAGCTGTGGGTTTTCTCCCCCAGACAATGCTCTCACATAATTTTTCACTGAGTTTCAGAGTGTTCATGGATCCTCTGAAAATGTATCTAAGAACCCTTCCTGAATTACTATAAAGACATTCATTTTCATGCATTGGTTCTGAGATTTTGTTTGAAGGCTTTTGACTTAGATTTAGACTTTGTAGCTTAGACTTGGATGAGAGGTACTTGCTCTTTGTGGATTTGGAGGTGAGAAAGAGGCCAGGGAGTATCACTGTGTCATATAGAAAACCTGTCTAAATTTTGGCAGCTTTCTCACTTTACATATCACGTATTACAAACCTATAAAAGGGACCATCTGTAGCTAAAGGACAGGAATTGATAGGTCTGAAAGGAACTTGCAGACAATGTTTCACCAAAAAGTTGAAATCTGAGGGGGAAAAGTCAAGCATGCTTGAAAATAATGCCAAATCTGAAGTAATATACATTGTTTTCCAAGTGGTTGCAGTTTTATCTCTTCCAAAATGAGAGCAGTTAGTAGGTTCTCAGTATATGTCAGCTGAATGCATTTCTGAGTTTCAAATATATTTTGTGATAATGGTATTTCCCCTCTTCTAATTTAAGGCTCTCAAGGTTTTTCATAAGCTTGTATTTTAACCCAGTATATTGTCATTATACTGGAGTGCAAACCAGAATGTCAAGCTGTTACCTCAATCTTTAAGTTTTTGGTATTTCAAGCCTTTTCTTTTAAAAGTATTATGAAGGGGGAGGGAAACATTTCTTTTTACAGGAGAATAGTGTACATTCTGAATAAACAAACATAAAAGACACCTGCTGTTTTAGAGCATCCATGGGCAATTCACACAACCTTTTAGATTTATGGGAGGCTGATTATGGAAAGGAAGGGTTCCATCAACAGCAGCAAATGTAGCAGAAGTGGAAATGGTCTAATTTTGGATTTCCTCTGTGTTTGCTTTGAATTCATCTTCTGATCTATCTCTGTGTTCACCAAGCCACCAGGCAATGCTGTGCTTGTCAGACTCAGATTCATTCCAGGGAGAGAGTTTTTCAGTACCCTGGAGGAAGGTTTTTAAGGAATACAGGATTTTTGTAAAAATGGAAGGATGAATAGAGGTAGGTTAGTTACGCAACAGTGTTTTCAGATTAAAAACAGGGACTGACAGCTGTGGCTAGAACTCTTCCCTGATGGAAGATTGGGACCGGGAGCCTACTGAGAGTGGGTGTTTTTTCTCACTGAAAGTTACATATGGTGTGATACTTGAAGTTTAAGCTCAGTTTTAAGGTAGCACTTAGGTATGTGGGGTCAATTGGTACTGAGAACTCGCTGATTTAAAGTGTAAATGGAAAAATCTTACTCAAACATACCTTTTTGAGTTATGTGATTAGTTTTCTTGGTTTCTGTTTGCTCAGCTCCTAAAACAGGTTTAAGTCAATGAGCAGTCCTCTCCCACCACTCCCTCCTCCCCCACCAAGTACTTTCTGCTGGTGACTGAAAATATAGACCAAGGTGGGGTGTTCATTGTTGAGGTGTAGGACTGGCAAGTTTACTTACCTGGCACCTGGTTTGAGCTAGCCAAGAAATGCTGTGCGTTGTGTCTTCTTGGTGGAACTCCTTTCTTCTCTGCTCTGGGTGGGGGAGCTGAATTGCTGAATTCAGATGAGGGTGTTTGTTTTCCTTCCCCATGCCACCATGGTAGGTAAAAACCTTATTCCCTAAAGCTACAGGTGGAAGCCACTGCCCACTTTCAGTCATAAAGGAGTCATATAAAAAGATGTGTGAGTACTTTCCACAACTTTTCCAATGATGTTCAGGTTTTTGATCCTGGATTAGGATTAGGAAGTAGGATTAGAGGGTCATCTCTGGGTTTCCTTTGAAATCGTGAGATACTATGATAATAACCAGTTTATTCGGTTTTTGCTGCTACTCTATTGTTATTTCAGATATCTAAGTCAGGAAAGCATGATCTTAGTTTGTGCTTTAAAGAAATACCCTCATTACACCTTCCTAATTAAAGCAATTCTAATAAGACCCCAATTAAAAAGAATCTTCATTTTTTATAAGTGAGTTGAGAGAATTCCTGGCCCAACTTAGCTCTTCTAAAGAAAAAATAACTTTATTGTTTATGATTTGTGTCTTAGTAAAAAAAGGTTATTTGTTTTTAAAGCTATGTCTGTATATGTTTTTTCAAATTAATTTTTTTATTCAGTTCTTTTAGTTTTTAAATCTACAGAGAAGTTATTCTGAGCTGGCCGTGGTGGGTTTTCCATTTAATTTTGAAACAGTTGTATTATTTAGATTCCATTCTGAGGAAGAAGGTAGTACTTGTCTTTAACAACCAAAAATTAAAATCTTTTAGCTGTGTGAAGTCCGGGCCCTGAAACTGTTAGGCGGGACCTGGGAACTATGTCAGTGATTGATCCTTGTACCTGAGCTGTCAGTGTCTAAAGTTTCTTCCAGGCCAGTCATTTTGACCTACAGATTTTTAACATCATATCAGTATGCTTTGCAGTATACCCATGATCTATAAGCCTTTTCCTGAGAAACTGTGGTATAATTATTATTTGTATAATTTGGGTAATACACATACACAGTTTGGAATGGGAAAATTCCTTTTCTGGTGCAGTACTGGCTCTTTTGGAGGCTGCTCTGGCATACTTGCCCAACCTTAGAGACACTTAAGAAAAGCAAAGAGGGAAGAGCCTACTATTTGTGTATGTGGATTCAGCAAGTAGAGAATATTTGTCAGTGCCAAAAAGATCATTCTTTAATAGGTGGCTTTTGTGTTTTGTTTTAGACTCACAAGAAGTTGATGAACAGCTGATAGCAGAAGTGGTTGAAAAATGCTCGTCTGAGACTTGTTCTAGACCCTCAGAAAATGAGGTTTCACAGCAGCCTGTTGAGTTTTACTCAGTCAGGGATTTCAAAGAAGAACCTGAACGTGATATTAGCAAGATTTCAGTAGTGAGGCCATTTTCAATAGAAACCAAGAATTGCACGGATATCTCAGCACCTCTTGGAACAGAAGCAGCGTATGGCTGTGTAACTGCCACCTCAGGGTCAGCTCTGCCCTCCAGCCCACCAGAAGCCATCCAGGACAAGGTGATGACAGAAAGCACCATGGGGGTTACCCTGGAGGTTTCCACAGAAACTGACCTGAAGAGTGGGAACTCCTGTCCGGAGCGAGTGCCCAGCAGAAGCAAGTTAAGAAAACCCAAGCCTGTCTCTCTGAGGAAGAAAACAGTTGGCGAGTTCTCAGAAACTTCCATGGAGGGCCTGCCTCTCCCCCAGTCATCCTACCCTGATGAAGTGGATGGGAACACAAATCCTTTGCTAGGAGATGCCAGGACCCAGAAATCTGTCCCTGACTTTAAGGAAACATCAAGCACTCCTAGTAGTGACACCAATGATTCTGGGGTTGAGCTGCTGGAGGAGTCGAGGAGCTCACCCCTGGAGCTCGAGTTTGATTTCACAGAAGATGTGGAAAATGTAGAGTCCAGGAAAGGCCTTCCAAGAAAACTTGGCAGGAAACTGGGTAACAAACTGCCTCCCAAGGTACAGAAAGATGGTGCCAGTAAGCCAGTATGTGCCAAAGGTGCAGAACCTCCTCTGGACCCAGCTGCAAACAGTGCTTCTCTCTCTCAAGCGTCTTCTAAGCAGGATCCCAGTCAGTGGGATAACCCCAGCTTCAGTCCCCTTGGGGGCCAGTCCACACTGCAGGACTCTTCTCCCCTCTCCCCTAAGGGCTCCTACCACTTTGATGAATCCACGGATCCCTTTAAACCAACTACAGCTTTAACAAACAGTGACTTTTGTTCTCCTGCTGGTAATCATGTTAATGAAATCTTAGAATCACCCAAGAAGGCAAAGTCGCGTTTAATAACGTGAGTGATGATGGGTGTGGGTGTTGTGTTCTGTGTATACTCTTAAAGTTTGGCAGCTGGCTGCTGTAGGTTTTGGTGACCTGAAGTTATCTTTGAAGTGCAGTTGGACAGACACAAGGCTTACAACTTTACATTGCATTCTTCACTATTTTGAAGCAAACTCTTGTGTGGAATCAAATACCAGAGGTTTCCTTTTTCGATGTCTGCCTGCTTTCTGAATCCTCAGCTTATTTAGCTGACCTCTTCCCCCCTTCCCCATTCCCCTCCTCCTTGGGTACTTTTTTTCTGTTTAAAAAAATGGCATGAGATAGGCAGGTAGAGATTTGATGATTTTCAGAAATCATATCTGGGCCATCAGGAATTGCTTTACATACAGAGTTCAAGTCATGCTAGCCACTATTTTCAGATTCTCTGTGGATAAAACAAAAATTCCAAGCCTACAGATTACCTCTCTAGTATCAAGAACTTGTAGAAATTGGTGCAAAAGGGTCTTGTAGAAGTTTTTCACTTAAAACAGAAATCTCTGATTTTTGTTGGAAACAAACCACTGAAAGTTGGTGAGAATTCTTATGTCTTTACTGTTAGCTTCTGGTTCCATCAGCAGTGGGGTGAATTTCCAATAAGAATCAAGAGTGTTTTAACTGGTGATATAAATCTGACTAAAGTAGTCTTTTGTTATGTGTTGTGACACAGCCCCTCACCCCCACCCCACCCCCTGGCCCAGGAAATCTGGAACCGCTTTTGCAAGGTCCTTGGAGTTCTCAGAGTGATCCCCTCAGACCATAGTCCATTTCAAGTTTCAGATTAAATTTGTTACAGGGTTCCCTTATTATAAAACTTGAGCAGTGACATTTTGCTAAAAACTAAATATAAAAAGACACCAATGACATAGAGGCTGAAATATGAAAGGGACGAAAAGAAATACCGTATTTTAGTTGCCACCATAGATCAGTAGGGAAATAATTTTTAGCCTTACTATGACTTCAAGAAAAATGCTTAATGGCATGGTGAATTACACTAAAGGGAAAGGTTTAAAGAGCAGAAAGCGTCAACCAGGACCAAGAAGCTTGAGCAACGTAGGAATCAGTTCTTCGGCAACTTGAGAATGTCTCGGGGAATAAAATGTCATTAGTAGTTGTTGATCTGTTCTTTGATTACATATGAGCAGTTAAATGGTTGCTGAAAAATATGACTGATCAGATGTCCTCAAAGTGCTCTTCTGTGGCTAAGGTTAATTACTTTTGTCTAGACAGTGTTTGGGGTATGTATTGGCCAGGTCATGGCTTCCTGACATGGGGAATCGTATGTATGGGGTGCCTCTGCCTGGCAAGGTTGATAAGTCATTTGGGAGCCTTTCTAAGAGTTACATGTTGAAGGCATGTAGCCAGTGCATTCATGTCAGATAAGATTAAATCTGGGCCAAAGGGAGGGAAATTTGTCCTACACCTTATTTTCAGTAGCAAGAAGCACCCTCTCTCGAATCCTACCAACCTCACCTCTTATTGTCCTCCTATTCTGGTTTTGGTGAATGGACTTCTTGGTCTAATAATACACCTTACAGATTTTTTAAAAAAATTTTATTCAATCAATATTCTTGTCTCCAAGAAGGGTCCCCAACCTCTGTGTAACTTTGTGATTTTATTTAGCAAATCCCTTCATTGGTAGGAAAGACAAAGTATACATGTGGCAGTAGAATCTAGTGGAAAGTTAGAAGTCCTGTTAGCAGTTACTTGTGTGACTTTTTAAAAGACATGTAATTGGTGTCTCAGATTCTTCTATAAAATGGAGACATCGTACTATGATGGGATTTTTGTGGATCAAGTAAGATAAAGTAAGTAAAATTATTTTAGATGTCTTAGTGACACACTCCTACAGTAGACATAGCAGATACATTTTCAACTATATTTTTATTCATGCATTGCCTTAGTCCGAATGACTAGACATTTAAGAGTAAACGTGCTCAGCCCTGAAATGTTGTTTACCTTTTCATCTATAAGTTTGAATATATGGCATTTCTGAATGTTTCTACCACTCTTACTCTTTAGAGTTGAGGCTCCGATAATCATTCACTCACCAGTGATAACATTCATGAATATGACATTTTTAATTTGTATTCACCCCACAGAAAGAACTTTGCAGCCTTTACATCTGCCAGACTAGAGATAAATATCCCAGGCTTTACACGTTTTTTTCTCCATCTGTCTGTCTCTTTCCTGTCTCTGATTTTGTTGGTGCATCAGGACTACTGAACAAGTGAAATTTCTCTGTTTTCTGTTGTAAGTATCCCTGCTGTGGTTTCTGTTTGTCCTTGAGACTATTGGCAGTTTCTCTCCCATCTTCCCCAAACCATCTCTCCACAGCATGTTGGCTTCCGGTTCTGAGTTTGACCTTCTGATTATTTTTTTGCATTTCATTGGCCACTTCATGAGTCAGCTTAGCCTTGCGATTGTCTGTACCTGAAGGAGTGGAGATCGGCCTTCCCACCTTAGGTGCCGAGCTTGCGCCCCTGCCTTGGCACGCCTTGTGTAGTGCTTTGATACTGAATGCTGGCTTGGCCCCAAGATCATCTGGGCAGGGGTTCAGGGACTGCTCTGCTATTTAATGTTAGAAATCATTGGCTTTTTTGATAGGATAACGCTGCTGGGTTGGAGCAGGGGATAAAATGGAGACATCATACTATGATTGGGATTCTCGTGGACCACCAACTTGAGTTTGGTGGCAAGGGGTGACCTTCAAGCATTAGGAAAGAAAATCATAAACGAGAGTGGTTGTGTACATTTTGGTAACATATATGCTTGCCTTTTGTTTCTCCACGCAAGAAGAAAAAGTTGCAGATTACTGTTTTATTGTCAGAGTGATATTACTGGAAATTTAAAGTTCACTCAAACAAGAGAATTTGAACATAGTCTTCCGATCGCAAATTATGTGCTAGTTTAAAAATAACAGGTGATTTGAGTTTTCCCTAGTTCCAGCCATGGTGTTCCTTTCCATCTTACTACTTAATAGGAATGGTAACAGTTTACACAGATATTTTTCTTTTTATACTTTCTGTTAACCACAGTTCTACTCTGTTAGCACACAGGTCTGGAGCTGTCTTATCAGACTTCTGTGGCTTTTAGTGCAATAAAGAATTTTTAAAGAATCTGGTCCAGCGTGGTAATTTTTCTAATGAATGTCAAAGCCCAAGTGAATGAGGATCAGATGAACCGAATGTCTCTAGGTGCTAAGGCTGCTCTCTCAAAGGCTTTGGTGGTGTGTAATTAAAAACTGGAGGGCTTTAACATCCCACAGAAGCTCGCGAGGAAGTCTTTTCAGAGAATGAACTGCACTCTAGTTCTTTGCTTGCCCTGTCTCTCGAAAGAAGATTCAGAGACGTAAAAGCTATTCCCGTCTGACGTGTAGATGTATGACGTGTGGTGCTATATGCCTTGGCTTCTATCTGCACACACTGCTGTCTCTGCTCCATCTCATGGCTCAGAAGTTGTCAGTGAGATTCCAAACCAGCCTGGTTATTTTTTTTCTTCCAGGAGTGGCTGTAAGGTGAAGAAATATGAAACACAGTCCCTTGCTTTGGATGGGTGTCATCAGGTAAGCCTGTCTATGACCAGAACGTCTCTTAGACCAGTGGCCCTCAAACTTTGATTGCTTCCCCACCCTAGGGTGGGTGGTGGTGGTTAATGAAGGCTTCCCACTAGGTGTTGGAGCACTCAGCTTTATGAAAACCAACTTCCTAAACTGATCTGAAAAGGCCCCTCAGGACTAGGGAACCCTTTCACAATTACCCTTATTCCATTTTTTTAAAAAATTCCCTCTCACCCATTTTAAATCTTACTGAGGTGCATTACCACTGGGTGTGAAATCTCTGGGGCGCCACACAAAGAGATTTGAAATATTTATGTAGGTTTTAAGGTGATTGGCTCCAATGACCTGATAATGTTTTTTAAAGTCAGGCAGTTTTTCAACTCATCACTTTCAACAAAATAGGAGAACCTGAGTTGATGGAAGTAGATTGGAATACAGATTCAGAAAGGAAAAGGAATGATATAAATTTCTGACTATTAAAGAGGTTGTTTATACCCAATTTTAAATAGATTATAGGATCTTTAGAATAACTACATTGAATTAAGCAAGGCACTATTTAAACTATACCAGATATTATATCCTTTGCAATTATTTGAACTTATGCTGAAAAGTTTTTAGATGACACCTGAAAATACAATGGGGTACATAAATATATTTTTTTAAATTTAGGAAGTATTTGAGTAAAATATTTGAAAACCACTGCCTTGTACCACTTCAACTTCTTGCTATAAATTTAGTCTAAAAAAGGTTAATTTATCAAACCTCAGATTTGAAACACAAAAGCTAGGTTCTAGAAAAGACAACATTTTGTGTTTTGATTGAGGGACTCCAGCTTCTTCCTTGATTTGTACTCAAGTCTGTGGTTAACTCTGATCAGATATCTATATGGAATAGTGGCTGCTCTGAGATGCCCCTTTCCCCGTTTGTCCTGATGGTAGTATCTCCTCTGTTTTATTTATCAGGATGAAGGAGCAGTGATTTCCCAGATTTCAGACATTTCTAACAGGGATGGCCATGCTACCGATGAGGAGAAACTGGCATCCACTTCATCTGTTCAGAAATCAGCTGGGGCCGAGGTGAAAGGTGAGCCAGAGGAAGACCTGGAGTACTTTGAATGTTCCAATGTTCCTGTGTCTACCATAAATCATGCGTTTTCATCCTCAGAAGCAGGTATGGAAGCATATCTTCATCTTTCTAATGTACATAAGCATAGAAATGCCTGAAAGCCTAAAGGCGGAGAAGCCTTAAAGAGATTAGGGAATTTGGTCACCTGAAGGATGGATATAGGATGCTGATCTAAGCTTTGCTTCTTTACCTAGAACAGAGACACAAAAGGGTGTCTTAATCAAATACCAAGGGCATATGGATAAATGTGGCAGGATGTTCAGGAGACACTAATGTGTGGGGATTGCTTGAATATTATAATTTATTTTACTGTGGCCACATCTCAAAGTATAGTGGCCTATAACCATGTTGTGATTATTGTATTCCTTGTTTGACTTACAGAAGTAATACTAACATGTAATTTCTTACCACGTGCAGGTATTGTTCTAAGTGCTTTGCATGTACTAACTCATTAATCCTTGCTAGGTATTGTTTTTTCACCATTTTTCAGAGAAGGAAAGTGAGACACAGAAGTTAAATAACTCAACCAAAGTCACTTGTAAATGGCTAGTAAATGGTAGAACTAGGATTCAGACTACAGCAGTCTGATCCCTGGTCTTTTAGCCACAGTGCTAAAGTGTGAAGAGCTTATTTTCATTACACTAGACTATTATAAATTTTCCTTTTCACAGATGTGGTAGACTGAAATTGACGCCCTATAAAATCCTTCTTAATGTTCAAATAAGAACCTAGATCGACTCACCTGTGCTGAAGCTTCTTGCTGTTGGACTCTTAAAACACTCTAGAGCTGAGGCCCTCTTTCTAGGTCCCAAGTTATATCTGTGGCCCTAAACTTGACTTGTGAAATGTTTAGAACCATGTTCCTGACTACATTAAACATTATTAAATCAGATCTTCAGCACCATAACTTAATTTTGGGGGCTTTTATACCTAGAATTAAAGAAATCATGTTCTATCATCAAACTAGGGAAGTGGGTGGAAATCGGGACTTTGTGAGAGTTATTACCCTGGCCACCTCCCTGCGTCCAGGTCTGTTTTTCATCTATAAAATAAATCTGCCAGGCAGTTCCAGATTTCTTCCCAGGCCTCCTTCTGCTCTAACTTCTTTCCCAAGACTTCATTTGCCATTTCCCTTTATACCCCCTTACCCAGTTAGGTGGGCTACACTTATTTCTTTTCTTCGAAATATCTTTCTTTGCCATCTCCTATAAAAATTCTGCCCATCCTTTTGGGTATGTTTCAGAAATATCACTTGGCTCCCACTGCGCTGTATGCTCCCAACATATTTCTTCTTACTATTCCTGTTTTGTGTATTAAGTATAAAAGGGTATCTTTGATTAACTCTCGAGGTTAAGGACTATCCTTGAATTTCCTCAGGTGCAGGTGCATAGTATATTTGTTGAATTATATTCTTCCTCACTCTGAGAAAATTCCTCCAACAGAAATTTGTAGAGCTGCGGTTCTGTTAGATACAGTGCTATCCTCAGACAGGTAGTGTGTCACTGTGTGTAACTGATTAGCCATATCAAGGAAGCAAGCAGAGGTCATGGGGATGTGGGGGTGTGGAAGTGGACGGGTGTACTGGCTCTGTCAGGTGAATCAAAGAACATTTACGGGGAAGGTAACCTTGGAGCTAGGTCTTGATAGATACAGACTTGTACACCAGAGAACAAGAATCTCTCAGGGATGGGAAGGAACCTGCCATGTGGGTACAATGCCCAGTAGCTCTGTGAGTATGGGTTAAGTGGGAAAATGAAGTGGTACTGAGGAACTTGGGCTTGATCCTATAGGTGGAGGGGAGCCACTGAAGGTTTTTAATAAGAGTAGCGATAGTCACATTTGTGTTTTAAAAATAATTCATTACAGATAGTATGCTAAAATAGTAATTCGTTACTGCTTTGTGGGAGATTGTAGTCTTTAAAATTTTTTATGCGTTTCCATTATTTTAAAATTGTCTTCAGCCCTGACCAGTGTGGTTCAGTTGGTCGGTAGTCATCCTGTGCACCCAAGGGTTGCTCATTCAGTTCCTGGTTAGGGCACATGCCCAGTTTGCGTGCTTGATCCCCATTGGGGGGCGCCATGCAGGAGGTAGCCAATTGATGTTTCGTTCTCACATCAGTGTTTTTCTCTCTCATTCTGCCTTCCTCTCTCTCTAAAAAATCAATAAAAATATGTCTTCAGTGAGAGCATATTCCTTTAATTAGAAAAAGTGTAGTGTTGGGTTTTTTTTTAATGTTGCCTCTGGTGGTAGAGTGGGAGGTAGAAAGTGGATTTAGTTTTGTGGGCATTGCAATTTGGAGCTTATTGTTTTGACTGATACCGCTACACTGATTAGATTGAGAGTACCCTTTTGGGCTGGAGTTTAAGACTTGGCAATAAAATAGCATTCGGTGTTACGGTTTCCTCTTCCTGGAATAATCCCATGGTTAGGACGTGGACACAAGAGGGCAGCCTTGCTGTTCCTTCCACCTGAAGATTGTGGGTTCGTTTATGGCTGACTTAACTCCACACTCCTTTTTCTGCTAACTATTTTGGACTTTTAACATGGACAACACAGTGGTTGACAGAAAGCCAGTGTTCCTGTGAAAATCTTGAAGTGCCGTTCGTGTATTTGCAGATGTTATTCTCTGCCTGTGCTGGGGCTTCCAAGTGTCATTCACTAGGGAGGAAAGGAACTGACTTCTTGGGATAACTACAAAAATGACTCTCTGTGTTTTAGGCATAGAAAAAGAGACGTGCCAGAAGATGGAGAAAGATGGATCTACTGTGCCTGTAAGTTCCTACACTTTGGGGTGGGGGATAGTTAAGTGGAGCTTAGATTTTTTTCAGCATTTGTTTTGAAGCCCATATTAAATCTTTCAATAAATTCTGGTCAGTGTTTGGTGATGGGAATAAAATATAAATAAAACACAACTTCTTCACTTGGGGCTCATAGCCTATCCTGAGATTTCCTGGACAGCACCCCTCATGCATGTGCAACAGAGCCCTTGAGCTGTAGCCAGTCTGAACTGAGGTGTCCTGTAAGTCTAACTACAACCTCTTTTTGATTTGTATATAAAAAGGAAGGAAAGTGCCTCTAACTTTATAGTGATTACATGTTGAGAAGATAATATTTTGAATATGTTGGGTTAACTAAACTATATTATTAAAGTTAATCTTGCCTGCTGCTTTTTACTTTGTAAATATGGCTACTGAGAATTTTTAAATTGCATATGGCTTGCACTATATTTCTTTTGAACAGCACTGGCAGTAGGTACAGAATGGAAACCAACCACACCTGTGGTGAAGGTTATACTAGAATGTGTTCCTGGGACTGTGGGAGCCAGGGCTGACAGGCTGCATGGCAGAGTCAGGAAGGCTGAATCTGAGCTAATGAAAAACAAAAATTTTAAAAAACTTTTAGACTTACAGAAATAGTACAAAGCGTAACTAACTCTTTCACCCCTACTCAGATGTTCACAATTTACATAATTAGCACAGTTATCAAAGTCAACTAACACTGACACAGTATTCTCTAATCCATAAACCATATTTAAATTTTATCAGTTGTCCCAGTACTGTCTCTCTGTGGTGTCGGATCCTACATTGCATTTAGTTCCTGTGTCCTCCGTCTCCTTTAATCTGTCACAGCTCCTCAGTCTGTCTTTGTCTTTGTCTTTCCCGACCTTGACACTTCTGAAGAGTACTAGTTGTTTTGTAGAATGTCTTTCCATTTGGCTTGTCTTCAGGACTCACTGTTGGGTGGCGGCCCTGGTACTTCCCTAGAGGAGGTAGAGTGGGCCAGATGTAAAGGTAGATGGAGCAGGAGCCTGTGGAAGCCTGAGCCAAAGGAAGGCGAGCACAGAGCACACAGGGACTCGGTGGCATTGTCTCCTCACGGTGGCCTCACATATTAGTGACGTTTGTTTCTGGACAGAATCACTTTTGCTTGGAAACTCATCTGATCCTTAGCATTTTGGGAGTGAGTCCATCTCATCCCAGCGCAGCCACGCACAGACTTAAGCTGGGATCCCTCATCTGAGAGAGAGGGGCGCCTGCCTTCGCCAGCAGCGAGAGGGCAGCACCCCACACTGCGTGGCCGGAGCAGCCTGCTGGCGCACCTGCGGAAACCAGTTCCTTTCGAAGTTTACCAAGTGCTGTGGGAACTCTTTCGGGTATTTTCAGTATGAAAATAGCAAAAGCATGATTGAAAGAGGATGTGTTGAGTGGACCAAGCGTTTGTGTGGCCGCAGATTCAGGTGGTTGACCCCATTCTTGAAACAAACTGGTTAAACTTCCGATTCCCAACTTGCTCATCTGTAATCATCCTCGTCAGAGTGGTTGTGAGGTTACTATAAGGTGGTGTGATGTTGATAGGAAACGGCGGGAAAGAGTGAGGAAGAAAAATGGAGAGCTCTTATCTCTAAAGCCAGGTGGTGAAGAGCATATTGTATGTTGTGATCTTTTTAAAGTAACCCCAGTTGAACTTCCTAAAATAAATTAATCTCTTTAGAATGTTGAATAAATGTTGCATAGGGAAATTGCAGTATTCAAAACATTGAATAAAGAAATCTGTTTAATCTAGCATTTACTTCTTAAAGCCTCCCTGGGTTGCTTTGGAGCCTATTTCTTTTGCAGTCTCACGCCCATCGTGGCTGGTGGCCAGGGCAAAAGAACTAAGGCCAGAGTGCAGGTGAGCGGTGGGCGTTAAGTCTCTAATGTTGCTTCTCAGCTATTGGTCTGCAGCATTTTCACTTAGGAATCTATTTTTTTAGGAAGTCTTAAACTCGTTAAAAGTTGAGTTTTGTTTGGCTTTTCCAAGTGTGTCTCTGTTAGAGAAGTAGCAGGGGTGGCCCTGCTCCCGTGGGTTCAGCAGCAGGTGATGGGGTGAGCACATTCAACATGCTGTGACAGATTAGTGATGCTCATTCCTCTGCCATAGGGACATGGGCAAGGAGAATTACCTTGTGTCACTGTGCTCACTGTAAGCTTGCAACCAGGACTCCATGGAGTTCCACTGTTGATAGAGAGGTCTTTGTTGGTTCTCAGTTGTGAATGCTTGGTGGGACAGGGAGAAATATTAGGGGACATGAAATGTGGAACCCTTTTGGAAGGACATGATTGATTGGATTTAGCATCATTATTAAATACATAAGAGATTGCCTAGTCCAGGAGGAGATTGTCAGGCCAGTGCTTTGTGACAGTACCTTCTGTAGGCTTTCTACACTTCTGATAACATAAAGGACCAAGGAATATAAAAGGTTAAGTCCTAGGGGACTGGAAGAGGTGGCTGAAATAGGCCATGGCATTAATTCCTGCCCTTAGCTCATAAGAGCCTTTGCATTTTGATCATGAGTCTCCTGGTATGCCGCCAGATAGGGGAGTGACCCAGGGGAGAACTGCAGGCTGCAGAGCATGCTCATCTGGAAACATTTGCCACCATTTGAGGTCTGACCTTGTACTTGTACCTCAGAATGCTTCTTCCTCCAGACACCACTTTTGTTAGCTAGAAGTTGTTAAACAAGCAGGCAGGCTGAATTTATTTATCCCTTCAACGCATGCATGAGGTGCTGAACTCCAGCATAGATACTGATATTTTCCTTACTAAGAAAACTTTTGGCTTGCTTATTTACCAAATTCTTGGTAACAGGGTCACAGGAGGCCCAGAGGGGTTAGTTTCTAGAGTTGTATTGAGTTGGGGATTCTTGCTTAGAATCATAAACATTCACAAAAGACAGACTTTAAATTCGGAAATATAACAAGGTAAACCAAATATGTTAGTTTTACTTAGTGCGTTATCTCCCTGCAGGAAGCAAGGTTATGAGAAAGCCTCTTGATAAAACGTGGCACGGGAAGTTAATGGAATGATCAAATGTCCAGGGGTGTATCAGTTAACCACAACAAACATTTACCATGCCATCATTTCTGGGTCAGGATTCCTGAGACTGCTTTGTAGGGTGCTTCTGACTCAGGGTATCTCATGGGCTACAATCAAGGTATTGACTAGGGCTACAGTCACTTCCAGGCTCACTCATGTGGCTATTGGCACATCTCAGGTCCTCACTAGCTGTTGACAGTGCCATCAGTTCCTTGTCATGTGGACCTCTCCATGGAGCTTCTCACTGTGTGGAAGCTAGAGTCTTTTTATAAACTCGTATCAGAAGTGACATCCCATGACTTGTACCATATTCTGTCCTTTAGAAGTGAGTCCTTAGGTCTAGTCTGCCACAAGGGGAAGAGATTGCATGAGAGGGTCAGTACCAGGAGATGGGGGTCATTGGGGCCATTAGACGCTTCACACCACAAGTGGCTTCTGGCTCTAGTGAAAGATCTATCCCAAGATAGAGTGTGCTCTGAGGGGATTATAGACTTCTGTCAGCATCATGGGCTGCCCTCCTCCAAATGCTGCTGGAAGCAGGCACTGCCAGCTGTGGCTTTGCATGTCCCTTTTCTGTGGCCGAAGCCCAGTTTCTATATTGGATGAGGTCTATGACGCTGTCTACAAAACTGTGTATTTTTTAGTACTTTCTAGAGACAGGATGAGTCTATAATAACCTGACAAGTTTAAAGACCCCTGGTCTAAGTGAACCTTGGACTTTATGCTCAGCCTTGGTTCAAAAAAGATACCAGAGAACTGATTATGATCAATAATTATTGGTAAGTTATATTGACATTTAAGATTATTCCTAGGTCACTTTGGCTGACACTTTGGATGTTATTTGTTGAGCTTTTTCCCCATTTATACAAAAAGTTTACTTGTATAGGTAAGGGGAAAATAGCCCAAAAAATACCTTCTAGGAAGGAAAATAGTACAGAACCTATATTCTTGTGAAAAATAAAATACTAACCAAATGTGGCTCTCTAGAACCTGAGTTTATCATAAAACAAGGGGTGCATCAGAAAGTGAAGCGCTGAAAACTCAATAGCAAGGAAGAACCAAAAATAGGAGTACAGACACAGATCTTGACTTCCACACGACCACTTTGTCAGTAACCCATAATGGTGCACACCTGACAGTATTGCTGGGCTGCCACACACATCTCTGCAGAGCATAGACGTTCCCGGTGATATTTAATCATCCAGGCTGGGATGGGGTCAGATAAATTAGCCATTTCTGCTTTCTTAGGCCTGAAAGTTAGTAATATATTTTAGAAACATTGCCATCCAAAGTGACTACATAGACACACAAAGCATTAATATGTTAAAAAAAAGGACTTTTCTTTGAAAATTTATTTACATGAAACACATCATTCCCAGAAACCCCTTGAAAGATGAGCTATGGACCATGTATAGTTTTCTCTTTTTTACATGTAATTCTTTGGTAACTGACCACTATGATATTTACACTCTCTTTTCTGGGATGATTAGAAAACTCCTCTAGGCTAATCTGTTAAACAAGCAAGACACCCCTGATAATCATTAGAACAAGTTTTTCCTTTAGATAGCACTGTAACTAGACTTGATTTCTTTTTTTTCCTCTAAAACTTGGTGAGACATCACCAGTTTCTTTTTTCTTAAAGAATATTTTATTTTTAATATATCTTTATTGATTTCAGAAAGAGAGAGGGAGAGAGGAAAGGGAAAGAGAGAGAGAGAAACATCAATGATGAAACACCAGTGATGAGAGTCCTCATTGATCGGCTGCCTCCTGCACACCCCCTACTGGGGATCGAGCCCGAAACCTGGGCATGTGCCCTGACCAGGAATCGAACCTTGACCTCCTGGATCCTAGGTTGATGCTCAACTGTACTGTTTTGTTTTTTTAACTTTAAACATGTTTTTAAAGATTGCGATCAATGTAGTAATGAGGAAATTATTGATATTTGGGATTAAGAAGCTAAAGATTAAACATAATGAATGTAACCTCTTCCCCCCCCTCCCCAGGAAATGCTGGAGTCCCCTGTAGAGAAGGCCCCTATGTCCGTGGCCTGTGGAGGAGAGAGCCCCCTGGATGGCATCTGCCTCAGTGAATCAGATAAGACAGCCGTGCTCACCCTGATAAGAGAAGAGGTAAAGGCTCTCTTGTTCCATCCTCTTATCGCTCCATTTCTTTGTGAAGCCCATGTGTAGTGGGCAGATTCCATCTCTGTTGGCCTGAGTTATCCCCAGCTGGAAGTTCGTGTTTCCTGCAGCTCGTTTAGCTCTCATATAAAGGGCTCCCTGTGAAACGCCACACTGGTGCTAGGGTCTTGACATTGTGGTGTGCAGGGACAAAAGCTGGCGTGCCGAAATATCCTTACGAATTTTGACTTCTATCTTTTAGCCTTGAAATTTTCAATGTCAAATTTTGCCAACTTTGTCCGCATATGTATCTAAATTAGTGCCTTCATTTTACAGAGGATATATGCTCATATATAAAAATTCCTTAAATTCTAGACTTGCACTAATATACAGTTGTTTCCTGTTTTCATCTATTCTTTAATTCAACTCTTAAATGCCTTTATCATGTTTCTTGAGCAACCTTTGTTCACTTTTCTTGGAAAATCTGAAAAATATGAAAGACGCTGTTATATGCTAGTAATCAGTTACTACTCTCTCCTATTATATTTCTGTGCTATATTTTATGTATTTGGTTTGTGTATTACTTAATGAGTCCACCTTTTTTAAAAGAAGCTGGAGCAATTTTCATAATATGGAAGTAATTAAGTACCTGTGATACAGGCTTCTTAAAGCTTTAAAAAATAGCATTAGGTTGGCAGCAAGAGATGTCTTATTGTCAAAACTTGGGAGCAGTGGTGAGGAAACCCCCCAAAATCTTGTAAATGAGAAAAGTGACTTCATCTTCTTCCTGAGAGTTAAACTATGAGATGACTTCCTAATGGATCAAAGCAAAGATGTGTTTAGTCACCGAAGCAGATAAGCTGGTTTCTAGGATCTTGAGATCCTCATTAAAGGCACCAAAGTAAAATGTACCAATTAGAAAGAGAGAATCACAGAAAAATAAAATGATAACAACGGGCCCCTGCAAGCCCTGTGCAGGGCAAATGGAGTTTCAGGCAATGAATTTAGAGAATTTCTTTCCAGTTAGTTAGCATGGGCATCCCAAATAGGGCCGTGGGCTCTGCACTAACAAGATCCTGCCTCTAGTGAGATGGATGCCCTGGTTGGAGGCACTGAACTTCTCACTCCCGCTGTCTGACTCTGTTCTTATCCAGCAATTAAGAAATCTGTATAGAAAGAGAATATGCTGGTCACACCATCTTCTAACGCTCTGACTTTGTGGCAGTTTCGTTTCTCCTCCTAAGATTGGTGCACTGGTGTCTCCTGTGGTTAAGGTGAGTCTCTGTGAGACAGATGCTCTGTCCTGGGCGTCCTCTCCCAATCAGTGTTCTAGGCCTACAGAGCTGAGAGCCAGACCCTGGCCTGAGGTCAGATTTACAAAGATCTTAATTACCACTCAGAATTTTCCCAGGTGATGGTCTACTCACCTTTACTCTGGTGGCTACATTTCCAGCATCCTATATGGCTAAGAGTTACTTTTCCAAATGCTTATGAGCATTGCCTAGAGGTTGTTGAGGTTTTGTATTCCTAATGTATAGCGAATGTCTAGGGTGGACCTGGTTGTGTGTTGTTTCAGTCTTCAATTTTATATTCAAGCTGTAATAGATTGAGTAGGTAAAACCAAGCTTTCTCTCTCTTACAATCTAGATAATCACTAAAGAGATTGAAGCAAATGAATGGAAAAAAAAATATGAAGAAACCCGACAAGAAGTCTTGGAGATGAGGTGAGACTGGGTTTGGGTGAGGGGTTGGATACCTTTATGCATTATTAGATTTAATACAAATGAAGTGATGAAAGTATTTGCTACCACAGAACCAGATGTTGAGAACTTGGGGCTGTGCTATTTACACCTTAATTTGTGGTTGATAATATTTCATGAGCATTGCTCACTAGGTATTATATCTAAACACTGTAGTTTATTTTGGGGGTGTTTGGAACATCATAAGTAAGCAGAACTCACATAATTCTTATCTTTTGAAAAGACAGATTTGTGCAAAAATACCCATTTTAAATACAGAGTAATAAAATTTCCTGACATTCAATTATGGAGGCATTATAATTCATAATACTTTAAAAAGCTAACTATACATAGTAGCTTCAAATCTTATAACTACTAAATAGATTATAAAAAACATATGAACAGAAAACAGAATTGATTGACAATTTTAAATTGAAATCTTTTTATTTTTGCTGCTCACTCTCTAGAAAGGAGAGTTAGGAGCTGTGTAATTAGAGATACATCAAAGAAGAAAGTAAAAGCATAAATAATTTATACACTGTATAGTTAGCACTTGAATGATTAGGAAACATTTAAAACATGTCCATGCTAATTTGTGTCTCTTCTATTATTTGGGTTTTTTTGAGCATTTACTGGGTGTAAGACCCCGTGCTGGGTATGGTGGAGAGGAAGGGACAGCCCCTGCCCTTGGAGAGCTTACAGGAGCCATTATTAGAAACTTGGATGCAGGGACAAAGTGATGGGCACAATCAGTGAGGATCAGGGGAGCCATCGTTTCTCACTGAGGAGTCACAGGGAAGAGAACTGTCACTGGACAGAGTCAGTTCATTATTATACTTCACCTAAAGAAAGGTTAACACTACAGGGTGATCTTTAAAGTCTTTAAATAACTAAAATACCTTTGGGATTAGGGCAGTGAAAGAAAATTTATAAGTGAATCAGAGGGGACAGAAGCCTGAATGGGTGGATTGGGCCCAGGAAAGCCCAAACTCAGATCAGATCTCTTAGAAAAAGCCCCCGTAATGTCATTACAGTAGTCCCCCCTTATCCACCACCAATATGTTCTGAGACCCCCCAAAAGATGTCTGAAACTGCAGATAGTGCCAAAATCTATACATATACACCTATGATAAAGTTCAGTTTATAAATTAGACACAATAAGAGATTAACAATAATAACCTATAATAAAATAAAACAATTATAACAATATACTGTTGTGTGCATGTGGTTTGTCTGTCAAAATATCTTCTTGTACTGTACTCACTTTTCACTTGAAGGAAGCACTTTATGGCTTCTCTCTGGTACATGCGAATTGCCAGCATCACTACTCTTGCACTTTGGGGCCAATATTAAGTAAAATAAGGGGGACTTCAACACAAGCACTGTGATACTTCAACAGTTGATCTGATAACCCAGATGTCTACTCAGTGACTAATGGGCTAGCAATGTACACAGCGTGGAACTCCGGACAAGGGTAATTCACATACCAGGCTGGACCAAGCAGAATGGTGTAAGATTCATCACATTTCTCAGAATGGTGTGAAATTTAAAACTTAAGAGTTGTTTACCTCTGGCATTTTCCATTTAATATTTTCAGACTGTGGTTGACTGTAGGAAACCAAAACAAAGTGAAACCATGGGTAATGGGGGACTACTGTAACTTACTTTGTAAAAGGTTGATTTGTCTAAGCAAACTTAATCTATTGCCTTGAGGCCATTCACATAGGGGCAAAAAAAAAAAAGTGAAGGCAGTTGTTTCTACAAATAGAATGAAAGCTTGTTAAATAGAAAATCTTAAGAAAAACCTTTTTGAGCATTAACAAACCTTGCATTAACGTTTAAAAAAAGAGAGATCCCACAGTGGATAAACGGGCTATGGAAATTGTTCAGTTCAGGGTGGGGCAAAAGTAGTTTCACAGTTGTGAGTATGCGAAACAGATATTATTTATTGTATTATTTTCCATATGAATGACTGTAAGTCTATCTTTGCCCCACCCTGTATGTTAATGTGTTTAATTGTGAAAGCATTTCTCCAGTTTGCATTGTCTAAAAATTCTCTTCTGATAATATTTTTTTTTATTTTTAAGGAAAATTGTAGCTGAATATGAAAAGACCATTGCCCAAATGATTGGTAAGGAAATTTTTTTCTAGGGTGTAAGCCATAGGATCCATAGATGATTTTCAAATCAGGTTATAAACTTCCATTTGTCCATCACTTAGATATAGTTGATTCTCATTATTTGCAGTAGTTACATTCTATAAAGTGGCCATAAGCACTGAGTTAGCAAACACTGATCTGTTGCTTCTAGGGAAGTACAGGGTTAGGTTCCTGCAAGCTGCTGGTCACAGCATTTTTGTGACTACATAATCTTGTCTTATGTGTATTTCTGTTTAAAGACATCTTATTTGATATAGTCGATTCATTAACATTGAACTGATGGTCAACGGTGCTATAGCTCAAGTGTGAACAAAGCTTATCAAACATGTATTTTCCCTGTGAGACACGTCACAGGCTTCCTGCACTTAGGAACACTAGACAGCTCTGTAGCACTATAGTTGGGGCCATTTTAAATAGCAATATCACCAACAGAAAGCACACACACAAAAAAGGCAGTAGATAGAATGTGAAAAGGACACTTCTTTACAGTAGGGAGCAAGAAGGCATCACCTTTTTCAACCTCAGCTGAGGATGTGCACGTCAGGTGACTCAAATTTTTTGCCGTTCTGTGCATGTCTGTGAATGACCATGAATGCACCAGAAGTATTGATTTTAGGGTTACAAATGAATATTAGTAAGTAGGCAAATTCACAAATATGGAATTCATGAGTAATGGGGATCAGCTGTAGTGGGTGTTTTTTTGAGAATGGCAAACACTTGGGTTCTGTGAAAAGCCCCCCACCCGGTACCCAGCGTTCACAGCCTAGGCACATTGTTCCTACCCCCGGTGGTGCAGTGTCCTTACCCCACTGCCAGTTGTACCTTCCCTGTGTCAGACCCACGGGTGCCTTTTCAAAGTGACAGTGGTTGATCATCCTGCACTGAATTTAGAACCTCTTCTTGCCCGTATTGTAAGGACTGACTCCCTAAGTCAAAGTCAGGCCTTTCTGCACTTGAGCACCAAAATGGTATTTTCTATTGTCCGCATCACCTAATGCCCTCCCAGCACACAGTCTTTGCCACAGCTGTTCCCCTCCTCTACATGGAATATTCTTCCAGGGATTTCCTGCCCTCAGTTCTTTGGGGTCTCTTCAGATCTCTCCTGAGACCACTCTATATGAAAAAGGAACCTCTCCCCTCGTGCCCTGCTTTGTTTCCCCCATCACTTATCACCATATATCTCACCTCTAGAATGTAAGTCCTTGAGAGTGTGAACTTCGTAATGTCCCCTGCTGGGTCCCTCCAAAAAGAACACTGCTTATTCTTATTAGCTCAAGGAAGGCAGCCGCTCATTGTGTTGATTGAAGATGCCATTGCTTTTGATTGTGATTCACAGAAGATGAACAAAGGACAAGTATGACGTCTCAGAAAAGCTTCCAGCAACTGACCATGGAGAAGGAGCAGGCCTTGGCTGACCTTAATTCTGTGGAAAGGTCCCTTTCTGATCTCTTCAGGAGATACGAGAACCTGAAAGGTGTTCTGGAGGGGTTCAAGAAGGTAGCATGTCCTTTCCTTCTGGAATCTCCTTGCTGGTGTATTTTCTTGGTAGTAGATCTTCAGATGTGTATGCCAGAGGAGTGTGAGTAGCCTTTAAATAGGGACTAGTGTCCCCTGTTGGCTGTGTCTTCTGTTCCAGTGAGCTGGAGAACCGCCCCCCCCCCCTTTCTGAGGTTGTTCAGGCATCTTGCCCAGTGGGTGGCATGTCTTGGTCATTCCTCTCCTGGGTCAGGCCAGTAAACCCCAGACACAACCAGAGTGTGGCATGGAGTATAAGAACTGTGGAACCCTTGGACTTTAGGAGGATTCTAGAGATGTTCGTTTTGATAATTCACCCATTTGCTATTAGTAAAAGTAAAAGGGATTCTAGATACAGCTCTGAAAAATTCAGGCTGCATATTCTAGAGAAAAGTAATACAATGTTTCAAGCTCAGGTGTAAGTGGGCATATTGATTTAATTTAGTTGCACATCATCAATGAGACATTTATGGCAGTGAACATTCTTTTTTTCCATATTCAAATAAAAATGAGACTGGCCAATTTATCTATGGGAATCAGATTGCTTTTCAGATTTAAATAACTGCCTTTCTAAAGCAGGTGTACTGGTGTAACTGAACCTTGCTATATGATTTGAAAATCAATACATGAAGAAATTATCTAGAATTTCTTTGGTAGATTTATTTGTACCATAGAGTATAATTTAAAGGCATCTGAATTAATTGGGTTTTCTTGTTTTTGAAAAAAATGAGCACTCATACATGGTATGTCACTAGTAGAAGAAAAACAAAATGACCTGTTTTATTTTAAATTATTGTTTTGGAACAGAATGAAGAAGCCTTGAAAAAATGTGCTCAGGATTACTTAGCCAGAGTTAAACAAGAGGAACAGAGATATCAGGCTCTGAAAATCCACGCAGAAGAAAAACTAGACAAGTAAGAACTTGCACATAAGAATTTTCTTATATGTTGTGAGATTGATGGAGGCAAGAAAAAAATCACTGTTTTGCAATTCCAGATGGCGTGTGTGTGTGTGTGTGTGTGTGTTTTAAAAGCTTTCTTTTGCACCACATGAATAAAGTCACTTTTTGGACTGTGTGTGGTAGATGAGATGGTTTTTATCCTGCCTCTTTAGCTGTGATGATCCAGAAGATGATCCTGCTTGCTACTGTACTGGGTTAAAAAAATACACAAAACCTTTTTGATTGTTGTAGAAACTGTCATGTGACTCCATTTTCCAGTGACATATGAATTTTGAAGGACACTGGGGCCTTTGAGATTAACTGCCATTGGTTTACACTATGGAAATTTCCTTAGTTGTGTGTAAATTGAGTTTTTACAAATTAAAGTTGAAATTATTTAGATCAGCGATTCCTTTTGTTTTTCTCATCATGAAGTCAGTTCCTTTAGGTTGCACTTCACAGATGTCAGTGGTTCCTATCCTGCCCCTTGCCATGACTGATGACTAACCCTGTGCCTTTTGTCTTTTTATTCTGCAAACAAAACACCATAAACAGAGCCAATGAAGAGATTGCTCAGGTTCGAACAAAAGCAAAGGCTGAGAGTGCAGCTCTCCACGCAGGGCTCCGGAAAGAGCAGATGAAAGTGGAGTCCCTGGAAAGGGCCCTTCAGCAGAAGGTACAACAAGGGGCGTGGTGTGACCACAGCGACGCTTGCTTTTGGTCGTTGGCAGTGGTAGCTTGCAGTGGATCTGGATGAAAGAGGCCTCACCTTTTTCGCAGACACTTCACTCTAGCTCCTTTGTGAACCGATTCAGGGGGAGACAAGGCAAAACCATGAAACTCCCAGGCACACTGGTGGGAACTGTCCACAGGCGAGATACAGAGAGGAAGTGGCATTAACTGAACTTCAGGGACCAAATGCTACTTAGTCGGGCTCTGAGGCTCCCTTTTTAAAAATTTCTTTTTGTTTTTTTAAATTAATATATGAAGCCGTCTTCCCCCTTCATTGTAATTTTACCCTCCAGGGCACAGTTGGCACAGTCTAGAGGTATATTTATGGTCATGACTAGGAGATGCTACTGCATCTATCTAGTGGGGAGAGGCCAGAAATGCTGCCAAACAGCCTACAGTGCACAGGACAGCCCCACAACAAAGACTGCCCAGCCCGCATTGCCAGTGGTACGCTGTGGAGAAACTGCTGCGGGTGGTAACAGCGGTCCTTATTTCTCGATGCTCAGCGATTCTTGGACTTCAGCTTTTGCATACCTCTAGTGTTTTTCTTCCTATGTTTCCGATTGTGTATTCATGCCTGTGGCCTCCATTCAGTTAGAACAGGATTCTTACCATGGGGTCTGATAACCCCTAAGACAGTGTTCCCGGGGTGTGAGGACTCAAGAATCCCCAGTCCCTGGAGATGCTTATGGATTGAGTGAGGTCCAGATACTTGTGTTTTTAAAAGGTACTCCAGGGAATTCCTGTGATAACAAGAAAATTTGAGAACTAAGAGGTTCGTGGACAAGCTGCAGAGGGGCCGGTGACAGTCCTCACCCCCGACTCAATTTAAGCATAACTCTGTGCACACAAAGCATTTTCCGGGGGAAAGGTATAGAGATCTCTTTTCTTTAATGAGTCTCTGACGTAGAAAGGCTCAGAGCCACTGAGTTAGAGTATAGCCAGTCTTGAAACTGGTAGTTATAATTGCCTTTATCTCAGGATGCAGATGACCTGCATAATCACATCGTTTGTCTTTCAGAACCAAGAAATTGAAGAACTGACGAAAATCTGCGATGAGCTGATTGCAAAGCTGGGAAAGACTGACTGAGTTTCCCCTGTTAGCTCACTGGATCTGCATTTGGCTGCTTCTCTCGTGACCACAATTATATTGCCTTATCCAGGAATTGTTGCCCCTTTGCAGAGAAAAACACTTTGAAAAAGCACATGCCCACTGCTTGTCCCGCTTTGCTGCCAATGCACAGCCCTGGAAGAAACCCTGGAGTGCCACAGTCGCCGAAGGAGTGGCAGCAGGCCATCGAGTCCTTCGTCACCTGATGGGCCAGTTAGACAGGCTGCTAAGTTGGGTTTGTGATTTCTCTGTCTTTAATTCGTTTTAAAGTCAGCTTTACTTTTCCAGGTGCGTTAAATTTGTGATTTTGTAGCTACTGTCTGATTTTTTGTGTGACCTGTTTATTTCATCTTTTAAATTTAATTTTCAGTATTAATGGTTTTATTTGAGGAAGGTAATTTGGTTTTTGTTACTTCTAATTTGTGAACAAGAAGGGACTCTGACTACCCATTTGTACACACACACACATATTTACACTTGCTGCTCTTTTTCCCTTGAAGCATAGTCAGATAAGAACTCTACAGAAGAACCTCTTTCCATAAATGTAAAAGCCTATTTTGAAAGTCCTGGCTCAGAATGCCAACTTGAGAATTTGTGACCACCCCTGACTCCTGCCTGTCATGACTTATGACCCCGGCTCAGGTGTCACGTCCAGGGAAGACTTCGCCATCATATTTGTTGTCCTGGTATTTAGATGCTCCTCAGCCTTGACGAGTGTGAGTGTGACCCCTTTGGGGTTCGTTGGCAGGCTGGTGGTGACTGCCCCCTGCAGGCACAGCAGAGCAGAGCTCCCTCGGAGCTGGGGTGTGGCTAGGCTGTCCTAGAGCCACTTTGTGTCCTCCGCTTCACTTGTTGCTACAGAACCAACATTTCCTCTTTATTGTCTATTTGAAATATGTGAAGAAAATCTACTTGTAAAAGGTTTAGATGAACTTATATAATTAAAAGGTAACTGTAACCCCATCAGCAATTATAAGGTGAAGAAACAGTTGGTTTTTCACAAGTGTGATGCCTTGTTTTTCAGATTTTTTTCTTTAAGGCAAAAAAAGTCCTTTCAAACTAAAGACAATTTTTAACAAAATGGGCAGTAAAAATCATGTGAAACACTCTGAAAATCAGTGCTTTCTGAATATTTTTAAAGAAAAGCCATTTCACTTAGAGGAGGGGAGTAAAGGGAGCAGATCCACACTCTGAGAACCCAATTCCTCAAGCTCTCATTCAGTGTGGAGGGGCCATTAACCCCCAAATGGAAAATTGTCGTGTAGCCAGTGAATTCCCCAGCATTTCATAGGCAAAACCAAATCCCTGCAAGTGTTTTAAAGCAGCCTTGTCTTAATCTTAGCACCCTGAAGGTCTTCATGGTGACATGCACTATGTTCAGAACATGTAACTTTCGTACTTTTCCTGTAGAACTATTGCATGGTCCACCTTCAGCAGTGAATTGTGCCTGGTGGAGAACGTCTATAGGTCTCTAAACATGAGTTTTTCTTTAGAAGTATACTATTCACAGGGGTGCAATCTTTAGCCCCAGGGAGGTCAATAATGTCTCTTAAAGCCAGAAGTCACGTTTTACCAATATGCATTTACCATAATTGGTGCTTAGGCTGTATTTTCAAGCCTGTTGTCTTACCGTTTTGTACAAAAAAGAACAACAAAAAGTGATCTGTGGTTGGAGAAGTGACTTGACAATCATTGGGGCCTTGAAAACGTCACTGGATTAATGTGCGAGCTGTACTGTAGGCTCAGCGGCAGAGGGCTGGTGTCTCCCGGTGGTGCCGCTGATTTCCTCGTTCAGTCCTCTCCTACCAGGAAGACGAGCTGTGTGTTTTGCAGAAAGAAACGTTGCTAAACCTTTTGCTGCTGTATTTTGGTGACATGCCCATGTTTACTTGTTTTCTGTTGATCTGTTTTAAGCATGGAAGGCTTTAGTGGTCTCCGTTATAAATCCTGGTCCTCTTTTTAGGTTTCTTGTGTATATAAGAAAAGGTAGCTATGTGTTAAAACAGGTGACGACAATCCTTCCCTAGCACACTGGTAAAAGAGACCCCTTAAAAACTAGATCCTAGAGCAAAGTTGCTGCACAAGGAATACGCGAGGGCCCATGTTAAGTAGTAGTTGCCACTGGCCTCTCAGCCATGACTGTTGCAAGAATATGTGCTTCCTTCTGATGAAATAGGCGGATATGCTCCAACAAGAATAAAAATGTAGCTTGTGCAGCTGACAAATCAAGAGAATATACTGGGCAGAATAAAGTATGTTGTTGTTTTTCTTTAAAAAGAAGAAAAAATCCCCCACAACTCCAAACTTTTAGAACTCCAGAGAGTAAGAATATAGCTAGAGTGGGCCCCTAGGGCAATAATAAACAGTTACAAAAGTGAAAAGAGATGAATGGAAGTTGCTGGCCTAGATCATGGTTGGGAACTGTTAGGTGATCTTGTTGAGACTGGATCCAGAGCCATTTCTTAAGTTTTTGACTTGGCCAACGTGTAGATAGGTAGTTTTTATCTTAAAGTATTTTAGTTGGAGACTGAGCAGTCTGTCACTTGGTTGGCTGGTCAGTTACCGTCAGACCTCCTGAGATTCACTATATTGGGAGAAGCTCCTGAAGGCCTGCCCAAACCTTTGGTTCTGTAAAATTGTTCTGGAAATATTGAGAAGCCCAGTTTTCTTACATGGTTTCTAGCTTCTTCAGACCCAGCCCAAATTAGGGAGTGTAGAAACACGTGCTTGTGCAAAGCTCTGAGGATCTGGCCGCCTTCCAGAATGATACGGAATCTAAGGGAAGATTTACGTTTGGTTTTGGGGGATCACTCAGGTTGAATTTTCTTTCCATCCGGTTACCCTTTCCACCTGCCCCACACTTTGTGCAACTCTTACACCAGTACTTAGGTCTTTATTGGACAGCCCCGAGTTAGTACTGTTTGTGAAAAGGAGGAGTAAACTGCCCAGGTGTTCCTGGGCTGTCCGAAAGCAGCCAGAGGGAAGCATTCGCTTTAAAGAAAGATAACCGAGGGCTTGCTGGTGGCTCTACAGCTCAAAATGGAATTATTAAAGAGCAAGGCTGGTAATCTTGTGTACACTAGCTGGAAATGATTCACACATCTTTTTCTAGTGGTATAAAAGCTCTAACGCTCTCTCTTTATTCCCTTTTGTTTTTTCAATATAATTAGTAGCCATCTCACTGAACTGTACATGACTATTGTCTTTCGTTTTGGTTTTGTGACCACACAAGCTTATTCTCAGACTTGGTTTCTTACTTTAAGCTCATGTTGGAAAGAGAGACTCTAAGTGTTGAAAGATTAAATGATTCAGGCAAAGGATTTTAAAGTAAAAATGTATATATTCTGAAGAATTTTAAAGATAGCAGATTATTATTTGCTTATTAGAGAACAAATATAGTCTGGGAATCCCAGAATGTCAGGCCAAAGGTCTAAGAAGTCATTGTGTTCAAAGACTTTAATAGAAATATTTTGAGGAGACTTCTGTCCAAAAAGGTTTGACTAACCTCCAGATTCCAGTGATTTTTAAAAAGCTTATCACTCAAGTTTATCACTCAAACCTTGAGTCTCCCATAGAGTAAAGCTAAAGAAATTGGAGAAACGTCTATAAGGTTCTCCTCTGGGAGACAATATAAACGGCAGCATTTCCAGGGAAAACCCTCCCTAGTGCCCAGAGCTAGCATTCTGGAGACTAAAGATTGCACTTTTCGTAGTTCTTTGTCCAAATGCAATCCCATTTCTGTGCCTCTTAGCATGCAGTTAGATTTGGACAAACAAGATTCCTAAGGAATGACTTTATTAACTATAATATGGTTCCAGCTATTACATATATATATATATATATATATATATATATATTTGGTTATAGTTCTAACATAGAGATGTTGCGTGCGATGCTGACAGTCTTAACTCATTTGGAGGAGGCCAGGCGTGGAGCTGAGGTGTGGCTTGAACCTTCCTTGTATCGATTCTTTAGAACTCTACAGATTCCACTTTCTCCCTCTCTGCCTTTTAGTGGTATCTGAAATATACTCCAAAAAGTATTTCCTAGTCACATGGTTGACCAATATTCTATATAAATAATTCCCAAGCAGACCTATAAAAATTGGAACTCGGAAACCACCCCCAGTCCAGATACAGGACAGTCTGTCACCACACCCTCAGCCTCAGCCCTGGTCCTTCTTACCCGATGGGACGGGACCCAGGCATTTCTTTAAATCTCAGAGGTAGCAGTAAACTTTTCAGTGTTGCTGTTAGCAACTGTGTTTGCCAGTAGATACCCATTTGTACTAATGTGCCAACAAGTAAATGTTAATTGCACATCTGCTTCCACTGTGTCCCCACGGGTGCCATGAAGTGTGTGAGGAGCCTCGTCTGGAGGAGTGAACGCGGCATTGACTACTGCTATCAGGATTGTGTTGTGTGGAATAATCATCTACATAAATTTTATATGCACAGTAATTTCCCTTTTATATGTCAGGTAAATATTTGTAAAAGTTATACTCACACAAATGAAATTATTATAATGATTACTAATATATTTTTTCCATGTTTCATTGCCTGAATAAAAACTGTTTACCACTGTTAAATTTGAGTGTGCGTATATGCATTTTTTCCCTAGTTATGGTGGTTTTCATCCCCAAGTGAAAATTTACGACAGCCTCGCTTTTATGAGCTCCATATTTCAGTTTAAAAATAGAAAAGATGACACTGCACTCATTTTGTGGGATTTTATACATTTGGCTGGGGGTGTAATTAAAAACAAAACAAACAGACTTTGGAATTCAGACCTTACCATAGAAATTTCCATGCTTTTGCATCTGTGCAAACAAAGTAATTGGGTGCTTGTTGGTTTTGCTTTGAGACTGCTTGTCTGCCCTGGCATTTTTCAAGTCATAGGAAACTAAGTCATTCCAAGGAGCCAGCGCTGTGTAAACATTGCAGAATGGCCCACAGAAAATAGTTGATGTTTTATGTCTCTTCTAGGTTAATACCAGGAAAAACTTTCAGTACTAGCCAGGCCAGTAAAGGGCTGGGGGACTGGGCAGGAAAATTTATGTTTTATTGCAGGAAAAGATAAGAGTCTCCATTTTACAACCTAGCTGGGGATCCACTAAGAAAAATCAGCGCTGTCACTTTCTTCACATTTGCTGCATCATAAGACATCATAGCCTGTAAAGTTCCAAAAAGTGTTTTTCACTAGTGTGCTCCTGAACCGCCAGGAGGGACTCCTGTCATATGACTGGAGGAGATGGCACTGCCATTTACCGAATGCTAAAGACCATGGAAATCGCATCACATCCTAAGAATTTGGGGAGAGTAGGGTGGGAGTTAGCTTTCTCCTCTCTCACAGAATTTTATTCTTAATAATAGGAGATGACTTTAGGGTTTTCCACACTTTTACAGATAGATCATGAGATCATTTTAGTGAGCAGCAGTCAGTATTTTAATAAGAGAAAATGTGACATATCAAAGTGCATTGTACAGGTTAAGGATAAGCTACTGCTCCATGAGATTCGTTTCAGATATAAATGCCTATGTGCGAGGTCATGATGGAAATTAATTTCTTGGTATGGCTAGTGGTCAAAGTGTGAAAAAACTTGATCTGCTAACAGTCATTCTACAGTTGAAGTAAAAAGGTGATGTGGCCAAGATTCTGTAGTTTGTATATCAGTGAAATTATCATCTTCACTCAAAATGAGCAACAAAATGAATTGCCACTTAGGCCTTTTCAAGCTCTTCAAATCCAATTTCTCCCAGATTTGGATAGCATTATGTGTATATCATTTTCTGTGTGTGTAGGCATTTACGGACCAATCAGAGCCAAAACTCTTTTTGTCTACATTCATTCATTTACTAAATATTTAGTGCATTTGCAGTTTCAAAGTGGAACATGCAGAGTTTCTGAGGCTAGTTAACTAAAGAGAAATTGTTTTTAAGTTTGAAACTTCACAGAAATACAGAACAATATGATAACTAAAACTGTTTTTACCCCAGAAGAAAGCCATCGCTATTCTAGGTTTCTTAGCCCAGTTGTGACTTGTAGGTTATTTAATCTAAATTATATGCTTGAGGATGGGGACACAGCAGTGGCTGCAATTATCATGAGATAAATGTAACCCCAAAACAGGACGAGATGGCATGGAACTGTGAAGTCACCTGGCACAGACTTAGTGCTGAAGGAGTCTAAGAGGAGGGACAGTGTAATAGGAAGGACATGCAAACCGGGTAGAGGAGCAGGCGTCGGAGAATAACACTCGGCTGAGCCTGGCTTCAGGTCACAGCCTCAGTTATTTTCCCTGCCTGGGCTTCAGTTTTCTAACTGGTGATAACAGTTCCCACCTTCTGAGATGGTCGCGAGAACTCAGTGAAAATGCTCGCATAGTGTTTAGCCCTTGGGGCCTTCATGACAGTGATTATCGTCACCTAAAACCTTGAATTTATGAAATTTTCAAATTTTCTAAGACTCCCCCTTAGAACCAAATGATTTTGTTACTAGTTTTATTAGACATCGAAACATAACAAAGCTTTGGGAACTTAGAAGTTACCTAACTTGATTCTTTTATTTGAGATTGGTAGAAGGTGGAGGCCTGGAGGATCCCCATGTTGGGGTGATTGAGCTATTAAGTAGGGAATGGAAGCCACCGTGGGTTCCAGACAATTCCAAGACTTTCCAGACCTATACAGGCCTCTAAAGGTTCCTATGATCTCTATTTTTTCTTTGCCAAGATGTGTACATCCTTCGAAGTTTGGTTCCCATGGGGATACATATACAGGAACAGATTGACGATAGAACTCAGTCAACAGAAACTCACTTATTAGCCAGTTTAAAGGAAAGGGTAATTGACATTTGAGTTTCCTGTTGCCAGGTGCCTTTACACATACGTCACATTAACAATTTCACGTAGGTGGAATTGTGTGTTTTTTTTTGTTTCTTTACCAGTCGGGGGGGAAATGAGGCTAAAAATCATGTAACATCCACCCAGCCACAAAGGTGGAGCTAGCACGTGAACCCAGGTCTCATTGATCTCAAACCCCATTCTCCTCCAGGCCACTCAGTGTTGGAGCACACTTTGGAATATATTGTTCAACAGGGCAAAGGAGGACTTTGTATTCACTAAATGAGTTTTCTTGTTCCTTTCTTTTCTCAAGTGGGAATGTTATATAGGCAGTTAGACATGAACAGAGCAAGGACGATGGGCCAGGTACAGAAACTCACCAGGGCAGAAAGCCCCAGATGCATAGCAAGGGGCAAAACTGGAAAACAAGAACCTCACCCCCAGGGTAACCTTTTCTCCCCTAGCATATCACTGGTCATGCAGTTTGGACCTCCTGACCTTTCATATTGCTGGTCTTGCAGTTTAGACCCCCTGAGCGTTTCTTCCCTAACGGTAACATCTAGGCCTCAGTTGTATTTCAGCTCCAGGCCCAGAAAAGCATTGAAACCAGACAAGGGAGGCCGTTGCTGCCTCAGGACCAGCAACATTGACTAATGACCCCCTGCCCTGGTACCAACCACCAATCAGTGGAGATCACAGCCCTGAAAGAGCCACACCTGGAAAGCTGATGAATATTCTACTGAGACCTCCCCTAAGATTTCCACCTGCAAGAGAGAGAGAAATATGCTCAGGACAATGGACCCAGCATGTACCCTTCCCCATTAGCAGAGCACGCCATTGCCATCTCCTTCCCTCTGAGGGGACCCCACGATACTTGCAACCAGGGAAGCAATGGGCAGCGGCAACCTGTCCCAGGCTTACCCCCTGAACCTGTCTCCAAGGCCCCCCCTTCTCTGACTTCCCAGTGAGCCAAAGCAGCCCAGCCTGGGCCCTCCTGTTACTTCCTCTATGCACCTTGTTTCACCATCCTAAGTGTATTTTTGCTGCAGTCAATGAACTCTTGCTTGCTTTTCTACACTTTGTCTCCTGATTGAAATCTTTGCCTTAAGAAGACAAGACTCGAGGCCTCCCCTTCTCCCTGGTAACAGGAATAATTCAGTGGATATCAGAGAAGACTGCAGAATCATGTCACCAAAGTTCAACAGCATGAGAACACGAAACCTAGCAAAGATGCATAATTCGTTTCTGTATTGGAAAGGTGCTATTAAAGGAAAACAAAACTCATAGTATTCTTCCTTTCGGGCCTCCTTGTTTTGCAGGAAGAGCTTTGGCCTGGAGGGCTGGGATGGGTTCTAGTCCTAGTTTTTGTCAACTGCATTGGGAAAAACCTTTAATGCCCTTATTTGGACTGAGAATGCTAGGAGGTCCCGTCCTGTGATTTTGTGATTTTACATCTTCCTAAAGTGCTAACTAAGGCAAAAGGTCCCCCAGTTTCCTTGTCAAAATCATTCTGAA